TTTTCTTTGATCAGGATCTGTATAATCAAAGCACAGAAATTGATTTGTACCTTGATTTACTGGCTACCTGTATATATATATTTTATCAAAAATCCCTCAAAAAGATTGTTAAGATAATTAAATTCAATCTCTGCTCTGTAAAACGTAAACTGTATCCCAATTACACATATTGCAAATAATGATTGAATATAGTATATTTCTTCATGGTTTACAAATGCTAAAGCCAATAATTTACTAGCTATTTGATATTTGCCCTACCAAGTACTTTTGGCAATGCTATGCAAGTGCTTGTCTTTATCAATTATCACAAATAGATTGCCCTTCCATATAGAAAAGTCAGTCTCTGATGTTACCTTTTTATTGTGCACCATGAAATAACAGTCTGCCTTTAGTTTCAAGGAAAACGAGTATTCATTAAATTCTAAAACTCCTAAAATAAAGTTTACAAATGAATCGGTAACTTTCTCATGCTTTTCTGCACTCGCACATTCTTTTATTAATATATTTGATATATATCTAGCTAGTGACCTTTCTTTATTATTCCAGCCTTCGGTAAGGGAATCGTCAGCCCAGGCACCAAAAAGCTGATCCCTGTTCGCATTTTGCAAGAGAAGACTGGTATTGTATGAAAAATCAGATATATCTTCGAACATTTTGATGACGCCTTCTACGTAGTGAATATTAAGTGCGCTTATGTCTTTCCGCCTAAATTCATTAGTACTATCAGCAAGTTCTAAAGGGCTTCTTAGACCTGTGCTTGGTTCTTGAGTGTAATGAGACTTTTTTTTTTGATTTTCTGATCTCAAAGGGAAATATCATGTAACTTCCCCAAAAGGTTATGAGCTACAAATAGAATGTGAAGTAGTTTGGCGAAGTTAGTTTAACCGGGTTTTAATTTTGCACGTTGTAGTACAGTATGTCAATCATTTATATCATTTATTGTTGTAGTACATAAATTAGAAATGGCATGTGTAAAATAAATTATATTATGTATTATTAGCTATTTGCAGTAACTGTTCAATACTAGCTTTGAGGCATCAAAAAAGATATATAAATATAGATATTGGTGCAGTAAATAAAGCCAAGCCAATTTAATTCTTTATTTCTGATTTTTTTAAAAATTTACTAGTACATGACCTGTCAACTTGCTGACGGGTTAAGTTTAAGAAAAAATTTATAATATATTTAAACAAATAAATAATAAAATAGATAAGATAAAGAAGTTAGATAAAAATCATAACTATAGTTTAATAGTTAGTATATGGTAAGAAAATAAGAAAGGGAATTGATAATTAGTAATAAAAAGAAAGAGAATAAGAATATAAAAAAAGATAAAACAATATTATATAAATAATTTAAAATTATAATTTGCAATAAGTAAATAATATAAAAATATATATAATATAAATAATAAAATTTCAAAAGTTAGTAAATAGAAAAAGAATAGGTGTTAAAAATAAATATACAATAAAATTAAAAAAATAATACAGTAAGAGTAAATGCAGTTAAAAGTAACAATTTAAATTTATAGAAGTGGGTAAAAGTATAGTTTAGTGGATTTAAATAGTGCAAACCAAGTAATCTGAATTAGTCAAAAGAATAGATAATAGTAAGCTAGATTTAAAAAATTAGTAAAATTAGTAGTATACTAAAAAAATAAATAAATAATATATATAAGCTATAAAAATAATACTGTAATATAATATTTTTTTTTTGTTTCTAAGGCAATCCTGTTTGCTTTATTTATGAGAAAAAACTTCAGTAGTATGAGGCACATACTAACTCTAGAATCTATTATTCTTAAACCTTTAGCTAAACTACCCAAGCTAGCCATGCAGTTGCCAAAGCTTCTACTTGCAGTCAGGGCAAACCATTAAACTGCTTATGCTTTATGCCCAAGTCGACCTGTCTAAGCAAACCTTTGGCCTCCTCCAGAGATCTGAAACTTGCTTCTGACTTTTTTTCTCCAGAATCCTCGACTGGC